ACTCGAGCGCGGACCGTCTTCTCTCTCTCTCTCTCTCTGACTCTCGAGTTTAGAAATACGCGTGCTGCGTGTATGTACCTATCTTGAAGGTGAATTGCGCAATCTGCCATAATTCACCCTCATATAATTATGGGGTACCTATATCGCTGTCTCTAGCCCTTTCCCTGCCTCGACTCCCCATGTTCCGGGCGTTTATCCCGAGAGTCTATCTACCACCGAGGAGGGTGCTTGTCACCTGTCTCAAGACATCTCGTAAATAACTGAAATAACATCTCAAGCCAGCGATAGGATAGGCTGACCTCGGCGATGACTGGCGTTCAGTAGTGGCCATCAGCCTCGACTACCTCGTAGGTTAGCCATAAGGGTGGAAACGTTCCCCGGGCTACTGCCAAACGTCATCCAACACTCCATGGGGCTTTTTCAACCCTTAGGAGTGAAGTTTGAATTACTTGAGGAGTGTAGAACCTATTGACTGTCTATACCTCGGACACGCGTTGGACTCGGTTGGTTAGTAAACAACCTCGAGATCAGTGAACGGGAACGGCCCGGCCACATGGCAAGGATAATTAATAACTCTCGTAACGAGGAATCACCGAAGATAGAATCGTTCCAAGGATCGAGAGCTCCTACAGGAGGTGGAATAGTCTAGTCGGACTATGCAGAGGACCTATAACCCATGAATTTGGACAGGCCGCGTCGGGTGTCTCGAGATGATTTTGCCCGGTAAGCATCGGGGAGGCGCAGCGCGGCCTGTTCGATGACTCTGCACGTTTAAACTACTTGGAGCTTTGAAGGGAGCGCTAAGTGGTAGGCGAACACAGGTTGAGCATTTCCAAATTGAAAACTATATATCTTCGAAAGGTGCGGTGCGTGTGCGTACGAAAGCCCGAAGACGGAAAAGTCCAAGTTACACGTGACCGGATGAGCGGTCGAATGGATAGAGAGGGTCCATTCGCGAAATCTATACTCCAACGAGATAGTTCCCCCTTGAAGACCGTGACACGAGATATGACGAAACGAGACGGCAGAGACGCTTTTAAAGTACAGGAGTCTAAACTGGCTCGTTTCAAAGTGAGAAAAAGGAAGTTAAGTAACGAAACGTTACAGGACCCGACAACCCGCCAGGTAATTCGGCCTTTTTAGGAAACATATGGGCCTCACACGGAATGCACCCAACTGGTTTGAGACTTGGCTTCGCGAGATAAAGTAGACCTCTATGGGAACATTACCGTCACAAGAAACTGAGAGTAGCCTGGACTTTTCTAGCCGTGCCACTCTCCCTTCCTACAAGGACGTTTCACCAAGCCTAACGACCTAGGATGGAGCGCGCCTCTTATTCTTCTAGCCTCTCTTCTTGATCCTCGACTAAGGCCTTGGGAAAGACAACGGCGCGATAACAGAGTTGTCAAGCAGCACGAAACTAAAGAAATGCAAAGTAACTTCTTGGATATAGAATTTCGGTTTCTACCGTCTCTATAGTCATGTTTTAAGAATGTCCGTGTCTCTGTATACCTATATACACACAGGCGTGCATAAGGACCATAGCCGCTGCGGGACCTTGATGGTTGGTACATAGGAAAGGCAGCCACGATGCATCATCTCTACTTCGGTATCTCTTCGTAAGAGAGGAGGAGATGGCGGTGGTTGTGGCGGTGGTTCTGATGGGTAAGAAGGAGTGCAGAGAGAAGAGAGATCTTCCGATGGCGATACCCTCGCGACCCTAACCCTCACTCCATACCGTATGCAACCGGCCTGCCAGTCATCCACGGTTTAGTCACACCGGAATTTCTTTAAGGATTTTCGATCGGGGTGCATTCCTAGGCCACATGGATTCCTTCTGATGCGGTAGGAATTCACTACACGACATTTAAATATTATTCATTCTTTCGAGTGCCAATAATATACACACGTAACAGTGGTGCCAGCCTGCGTCAGAAATAGTAGACGCTCTGCTTGTGCCGAAACGTCGGCATAGACCAACTGAATTTTCCTGTGCAATATGTCCGTCCGACCAAAACCCGAGAACATCTGGAACGTGCTGCCAACGTGAAAGCACTTTTGGGAATTTCTAGGGCGCACGAGGAGTTCAGGTCAGATTTTCATGTGCCACGGGGAAATATTTTGGTGAACCAGGCATAAGGTGATACGCGTCGCGACGTCGGTACTCATATGAACAGGCCGACGGATGCCAGAAAGCTTCCAGGCGTGTACTGGGTATACTATAGTTCCACCGTCGGCAAGTTGCATGGAAATTCCAAAAGGGAGGTTATAATAATCCATACGGCGGTCTCAGCTGATTTTAACGGCCGGCCTCCATTTTACGTTAGATATGCCGAACCGTCCGGCCCGTTTAATGGGGCGCGGATGTGTGCACGTGGGGGTGTCGCATTCAGCAGGGTGATCGATCACGGGGTATCCACCCTTAGTCTGTTATAATACGCCACCCCATATACCCATATACATAACCTGCCTGCCGTACTCGTAACTCCGTGACTCCAGCACCCCCATGTACTTTCCACTTGGTGTATTATAGACGCCATTGACATCAAGGTCGATCTTGAAGACATTGAAGTTTGAAACTGGTGCAGGAATCCCATCTCGATGTATGAAATACCAATGGTATAGTGCAAATATGAAATTTACGAATTAGGTCTACGTAAAGTTATTCTTTTACGAGGAAAATATTAAAGATAATATTTATCATAAATTTTGTGATATAATTATTCTTTGTGATCACACAATGATTGGTGCTGCGAAATATTAACAGTATAGCGTAAAAAAAAAATTCATTTTGAGATATATGCAGATAATGGTTATTATAAATTATTTTTTCTCACGAGATCCAGAAGAGATGTATTATCTTGAGATACTCTGTTTGGTTATCGATCAACAAATCTATAAACAGTGCTTGAGTGGGACACGAAAGTTTTAAAGGGCTTGGATGCTATGCCGATGCTCGACGCTATGGAAAAAAGGATCTGGGAATCGGTAACTCGACGCCCCTAATCGGATCGGGGTTGCGTTTCGAGAGGCCAAGGATCGTGATAGCAGTGCGGGATGTATCAGGATCGAATCGTAGCCCTGTTATACGTAGCCGCATAATTTCAACCGCCAGGAATATTGAGGTCGGACGATCCTGAAAGAACAGTGTAACGTGTCTATTTGGTTTGTCTGATATTTAAAAAAAATATTAAAAAAATTTCCTACTATCCGTGCATATATCCCATTTTATACGATTATTCACTGATAGATTGAAAAAACGCTATAGGATATGTATATATATAAAAAAATATAAAAAATCTAAAATGGATTAACGTATTTCTATCGCTTGTCATATAGATAATATAAATCAATGAATCGGATACGAGAAGTTTACAAGCAAATATACAAAGTGAAGAAAGTTCAGAAAATTTCGTAAAATACTGATCAAGCTTCCACGTTTACAGGAAAAAAATATTTTTTAAACGAACTGTACGTACGCTACCGTACCGTATACGGATGGTAAATAAAATAGCGAAACGAAAGGGGTTAGCTATATTAAAAAATTAGTAAACGCCGCCGATGCAAGAGTCACGTATACTGGATGAAATACGTGTATTGGGGAAGGTGGCGACGTTAATGGGGAAAAGTTGTTTGCGCGTCGGAACGTCCAAATCGCGCGAAGGACACCGGCATCATGATTGACGTATATACGACGCTGTGCGTATATATCTGGCGATGTGATTTATTAGAAAATAACAGGTTCGTTGAGTCAGGACAGGTAAGGTTCCGCTAAGTGGACGACAATGGCCGGAGACACCTACAAATTAACCGGGTAAGTAGTGTTTAGAAACGGGTGCCCTGACGGTCAGTCTTTCACTCTAGTCTATCCGTCTAGCCCGTCTGCCCGACCGTTCTTGCCGGTCAACCCTTTTCCCTTTTACTACTCTTAAACATGTCCCAATTTGTGATGTTACGCGGAACCGGATAGACGGACAGTCATAAAATCGAACGGAGCGTAGCGCAGGAGGGAGACACCGAGTGATGCCGGTGACAGCCGCTTCGTTCGACCCCCTCGCGCTATTACTCACTGAGCAGCGAATACCATTCAAAGTTCGAAACCACCACACGTTCTCGACCCAATTCCTCTGCATAGTCAGCTGTTGGTCCATTGAAACGTCGATCGAGCGGCCAATGGATATTCGGCAAAATTAATTAGTTCTAGTACATGTATAATGTCTTATTTTACATTGAATAACACTGCTCACGGGACGGCGACGTATACCCTTTGTTTTGACTAAGCATTGGACTCGACAACAATCAGCTGATAATTGGTAATTCGCACTGTTGCCGCATATATAAAACGTAAATGTTTGGTTGTATAAGGATCGTAAAGCATAAATTCAGCACGAGAGAGGAATATAATGTGGAAGCATATTCGTCACTGTAACTGTAGTACAAATAATGTCAACTCTCACTGTTTCCTCATTTTTGTTACTTTTCATCCACTTCACAGATCCCATGTTCAAGTGACAGTAGTTCCGTAGTTGAGAGAACGTTGTTGTTAACTGTAGCACGTTTCCCGACAGTAATCATAATCCGTAACTTGCATAATTGCAAAAGGGTCTTCCTCGAGAAGAGTATGTAAAAGGCTGTGCAAAAGAGACAGGGGGTATAGAGAGCAGCGTAAAGTGCGTATAGCGTAGCAGCCAGGGTAGACGACGACGGTGGCGTCGCTGTCGTCAGCGTCGACAAGGCGTCCCGCTCTTGCGGGAAAGCGTCGAAGCGAGCGAGTGAGTCGCCGCGACGGTCGCCGGCAGAAGCGAGAGTGTATCGTGTGTAGGCCCGGGCCACGTCGCGTTGGTATTGGTGTAGCGATGGCGGAGCGTTGTGATTCGTGGGCTCGCCGCCGTGGCGCCAGCGTCGATAGGTGGGGCCTCGACGCATTGGTCGCGTTCAGGGGGCGTGGTCTCGCGCCTCCCACTCCACGACGTTGCACCGCGGTGATTGACAGTTGGCGAACGACTGCGGACGGCGCAGGATCTAAACGCTAGGCGCTTCACGCTCGCTCGCTCCTTCGGTTGCTCGGCGCTCGGTCGCTCGCTCGCTCCGTGTGCTTTCGAAGAACCAACGCATCGTGCCTGGCAGCCAGGGCGCGCCACATCACACATTCAACACAGTATACGCAAAGCTACCGCCGCCTGGGTTGCGTATCCTCGTGGTTTACTCACTTATCTCGGCTGAATATTCCAGAGACGTTCGTGGCCGGATCTACTTTCGAACGTCCCGCGTGTGACGATACGGCGTGTCGCGCGGATCGTCCGGTCGTGAAACGCAGCGCGCCGTCTGTTTCTCGATCGAGAAGAGCGCGAGTAGCCCTCTGAGGCTCTGTGTCCTGCCATTCGCCACATGTAATATCCCAAGTACTAGGGGATCTGGGAAGTTTACCTGCAGACGTGCGAGCACGGGACACTCGTCATTGATCATCGCGCTTGGATAACCGGCGCGGATAGAGTAAGGCAGGCAGGCAACACGAGGTGGACAACGTCGGTCTAGAAACGCGCGGGATTTTAATATACGTGGAGCTGGAGCGTTTGGTCGCCGTCGCCGTAAATGATCGCGTGGTGAAAATACCTCCGGTGCTTAATGTATTTCATTGGAGGATGTATCGTGCACAGTGACATCCCTTGTATCAACGTATACTACCCCCATTCTCAGTGTTAATGAGTGAGATTCTCGTCGTTCTTATTCCAACTAATCGCGTTCTATTTAATACGCTCTTAATACGGTTGACAGCTAGAGTGACAGTGCGGACAGCCACCCATCGCGTCGTCCGTCCGTTTATCTTCGCGTTCACCCACCCCGTGTAATGTTTTCCGTTTATCTCTTTTATCGCGTGTGATACCCACCTTTATCCCTCGTCGCGATTTTCCTACGTTTTCCGCTTATAGGCATTTTTCGCGTATCGGTGCGTGTTTTATCATCGAGCCTCCCGGGGGTTGTTTCCTGCAGTGTACTCTCTCTCTCCACTTGGGATCTTAATATAGATCAAGATCTGTTATACTGGCATTGCAAACAGCCAGAGTCATCTTTATTACTGAAGCAGCTACGAGAGGAAGTGTCTGACACCCCTGTGGAACCACGTGCTCGCGCGAGTTCGACTCCTGTTGTGATGCTGCAAGACTGACACAAGGAATAGTCGTAATCGAATTGCAAAAGGTGCAAAGATGAGGAAACACGAGAGCATCCCTTCGCGGACCGCGCTCTGCTGACGTCACACCCTACCCCATCACGATTTTAATTTTAAGGACGATACGTGCTCGCTCTGCTCGGACTTGGAGTGACACGAAGGTCGTAGGTCGACGACGACGACGACCACGACCAACGTCCACGCGAATACTGTGCTCATAAGGTGTCTACAACAGTGCTTGGAAATAAAACACGCGGACCGCGGGTTGAGTTTTCGACCGTTTTTTTGTGTAAGACGTAACAGTGCTTAATCGGACTACTATTGCCATTTGAAGAAACACAGTGAGTCACATTAGAAAGGTTTGAATATTGTGGAAAAAGTGAAGTGAGGCTTCGTCGCTACTCTGGGGAAAAACAGCCGCTACGGTGGCTCAGCACGCAGAGTTCCCCGGCGCGGCCAGGGCGTTCATGGCGCAGCCAAGGGTACGTTTTTATTATTAGTTGCCCATTGTCAGGTTCGTACTGTGATTAGGATTTACTTGGTGCAGAGCACGAGCTCTGTCTTCTTCCAAGTAAAACTGGATTTGTGACGTCGTGCGAGTGTCTTCTGTTTACGGACTTATTGAACGGCGTTCGGCACTGGTGAACAGCGAGTAAAACATTTCGGGGCAGCGTAGAATTTTTGCCGTGACAAATAGCATTAACTGTAACGGGCAATGAAAAATATTGAATAGTGCGCAAATGCGTGTGTCAGAAATTTGGAATGGAGAGCAGGACTTTATATTTATATAGTAGAGCGTAGAATAGGGCGTAGAACGTATCTAAATATTACTGGCAGTTTTAAATCCCACGAGGAAAACAATTTTTTATTAGATGTTTACTACGGACGTACCGTGTCATTAGAAAATCCTAATCGTTAGTCACTCGCCGTCGCGTTCTCACACGATCTTCCGTGTTCTCTCAGTGAAACGTTATTTTCGCAGTAACTACGCATCTCCGGATAAGATTCCGCGCGGGAATATTTACATTGCGGAATGGCAATGGTCGTTCGGAAGGCTACAAAGTGCTCCGCGAAAGGGTCGCGTACGTTGACAGTGTTCGTTAGTTGATACTATACGTAGATGGTATTAGATACAAATTAGAATTTATTCATAGAAAAGACTGTAGCAGTTGCGTGTCTCTCCTGTATCGTAAGTAGTGCACCGTGCGTCGGCCAAAAGTCATGATCTCTCTTGAATTTCATGAAATCGTCCATTAGCTTCTTTAAATGTCCGTCCTGCCGGGATTGACAGTCCGTTACTCGTCAATCGACCATTTCGCGGAATCACTTTCGATCTTCTCTACTATTCCAGAGATAAACGACTCTCTCGTCTTCGAGAAGATTTCTTGTCTCCCGTCGCCTGTCGATTCGGATGCTCATAAACGTTCCAGTATTCCAATGTATTCCACGCTCCGCGTTTAACATTCGCATTGATATTGGAAACAATTTTTTTTTAAATTATATATATACTTTTTTGTACTAAATATTTGATTGTATCACTAAATGTTAGTGTCAGTGGTCAGCGTTATGAATAATTTGACTGACAAATCATTTCGCTACATGTGTAATGCTTTGGCATACTATCAGCACCGGGGACTGGTTGTTAGCGACTTGTGTGAATTATTAAAACGTTATATATCTTTATGAAAAATGTACATTACATATGTTTTAAAAGAAAAAAAAAAACGTAGTCACATCGTGGCGTTAGAATGTGACGAGCATATCGCTTCTGTCTTTTTTTTAATAATTCACTCTATTTCATTCATGCAAGTCTCGTTTAGCAACGTGATATAATATTTGATTTGGATACGTACGAGTTCCCGCGTTTATCTATCATTTATAAATTTATGCTCCGCACTGTTTATCTCTATAAGAAATGGATCTTGCGACGCGCAGAGGTACGGTTGCCCTAAAATTCGAAATACAAAACATTACGAGATGGAGGTGCGTCGCGACGCGACGCGGCTCGGCGAAAGCACATGGCGGAACCAGCATATATCGCAATGTTTTCCAAATGTCGACATCAATCAGAGAGTAATGAACGCTCTCCCGCTCCCTTGCTCTCTTAGTCTGGAACGTCAGCCATATTTGCCAGGAACGTCGCTTGGCGCGCAACACGCTACCAAACTCACGTGTACCACTGTACAGTACAAGCGATTTAGCGTGCCCTCGCCTGTGTTAGCCGTTTTAAAAAATTAATTTTTCATGAATAAAAAATCACAAATTATTCTACAAAGCTTCACGGGGATACACGAAAGATACACAAGCGTCTCGGGAATGGTCGTGACGCTTCGTGAGATGGAGAAGGACGCAGAAGGGAATTGTAGAAAGAAAATAAAAGGGGACGTAAACGTGATCCCGAGAGTCCTGAGTTTTTGCTCGAAAAAGTTCACCGTCATGAGCTTATAGATCATTCCGTAATCTCGTAGGATTTAACGGGCGACTCGAACCTGCTCAAGCTTTGGTCAAGCATAAATCAGTCGAAGCCAAACATCGATAGTGAGTCTCGGGGAATTATTGTACGTGCATTATTTTCGACATTGCTCGTACGATAGTTGCTGTTTTCAAAAGCGTGGAAATTTTGCCAGTTTTTTTGTTTATGGTCTGAGAATCTTTTTTCATCTGTCAATGAATCTCTTGTCGAGTCTACTGTACAGTAGATGCGCACACATAATGAATTTAATTCAGTCGAATCAGTGTAGGGCACGTATACGTACACGTGTCCTTTCTTATTTTATAAATAATTGCGCCCAAATGGCAAAAAATATTCCAAGGCTTTATTACATTAATTCACAATATCCTTATTATACTTTGAATAAGGAAGTAATCGTGCAACTATCGAAAATTTCTCACTCACATTTTTGACACCCTTGTACATCTTTTTGACGTTTCTCTACTGTTTGGTCGTTAGTGTTATCGTATGGCGAATTACAAACTATTGAGGATGCACTTTATTTATTTGCACGTTATTTCTCGTGCAGAATGAGTGGAGTGTAGAGTTCTCCGCACGGAAGTGGCGTAGCAGTAATTTTCTTCGATTCTTGTGTCCAAGAAATGAGACAGCTGCAGTTTCTTGCGGTATATTATAATGTTTACTGCTGTAATTTCCGTGCAGTGTTACGTGTTATGATTCATTCGTCGGTTTAGTTACAAATTAGCGGTGAATTGCCGGTAATTAGTAATTGTAAATACGTTGCGCGTTTGTACATACGAATCGCTTTGGAATAGCTCTGCGGGCGACATTACTGCCTCCATGCTGTCGAATGACACGTTTCTCTTCGTGTCTCTCTTTCTCTTTCTGTTTCTCCTCTCGTGTATCCGCCTTGTCCTTCTTTCGCTTCTTATTACTCTCGTATACTCTCTCTTTCTCTTTCTCTCTCTCTCTCTCTCTCTCTCTCTCTATTTCTCCTCACTCCATAGACTATCCTGGCTTTTACGTCTTTCGTCTTTAGGCCGAGGCGGCCAACTCTCGACACGTTTAAAATATTCCGCTCCTATTTCTCCTCACTCCATAGACCTTCTTTCGCTTCTTATTACTCTCGTATACTCTCTCTTTCTCTTTCTCTCTCTCTCTCTCTCTCTCTCTCTCTATTTCTCCTCACTCCATAGACTATCCTGGCTTTTACGTCTTTCGTCTTTAGGCCGAGGCGGCCAACTCTCGACACGTTTAAAATATTCCGCTCAGCTGCCAAGTGATATCTTCATAGCTCGGTCTGTGAATTATTAGCGAGGCTTTTTCACTCCGAGTATGGAATTCGCGAGGCACCGCGATAGGATTGCTGATTTTTAGCGCGTGAATATCGGACAACTCGAAATCATCTCGATTTTTGGTATGTTACTCAGTCAGTGAAGTTTTCGAGGACGAGTCTTCCCTTTGACATATCTTGACAGACAAGCTTCAGAACCGCATCTCTTTTGTTGCGTTTGAGTGAGATGCGTGATGATAAGGAACAAAGCACAAAAAATAAAATAATAATAATAAATGCCTTCATTATATGTATATATATCAATATAAATATATATATTCTTCATTGCTTCGAGATCTGTCGTATTCGCTTATCGCGCTATTATATCGCTTATAGTCAGGTTGTATGATCTTCTTAAAATCGAGGACTGGCGGCCATGGAGTAGCTACTCGTTAAAAAGAAATAGTCAGCTTGACATTTCGTTACGTGAGCAAAGGCGATTTATCGGGACTTGTTGGAAATGGCCGATGGAGGTGGTCGAGTAGAATTTCGTTTCCATTCGAGTTCGGTCGGTCCCTTTCTCATTTGAATAACTGAGCGATTATATATATTGTTTCTAATATCACACCGTCTTACTAGGTAAGTATCTTAATTTACATGTTATCGTGAAATTGTCAAAGGTTTCGGTAGAATTGAATCACACGGGCAATAGAGATATCAGGATACTATCTTTTATATGAATAAGTTATTTTATGGTGTTATCGCCTTTTTCGATCCGCTTTGTATTTTATGTCTCTTTTCGATATTCGGACATTTTAAAAGGAAGCGGTTAGCATACTTTTACTTTACTTTTATCGCTTTAAGGGCGCGGACACCGCTGGAGTCCAAAGAGGCGCCGGGTAAAATCATCCCCTTCACTATTCGAAAGGTCGTTAATTTCTTCCCGAGGCTCACCGTTAAGTTAACGTTATCGGGCGTAACGAGAGGGTAAAAGGAGCGACGGCGCACCTCGCGAGCGTAACCCAATCGATTGGGAATTTATTAGCCACTTGATCTTGAAAGATCCTCTGGTCGTTCGATTTCTCTTTTTTTTTTCTTTCTTTCTTTCTTGGACGACGACACGCAGCTGGCGAACACGCGTTTTATCCACGCGTCTTACGTAACGATCTGTAGGAGGGTCCGTGGATGAGTAACATTAATGAAACTCCAGGAGAGCGTTTAGATGAACAAATGGCACATGATCAGTCTGGCTGTAGGTACTAGGAGGGTCTTAGGAACAGCCAGCGTACGTCGGAGTTTGTTTCTTTTTGACTTGCGAAACAGCGGATCTTTGAGAATCACTTTAGGCAGCTTTTATTGTACCACGTTAATGAGTCATACTAACTGATAATTGTAATGTGATTTTAGTACGACGATGGCGGGCTGCACGGGGGTTACCTTGAAGGTGGCGGTGGCGGCGGGGGAGCAGGACTGTACGACCCCCACGGGAGTGCCCGGGGTGTTCCTGGCCTCCACCACAGTCCACACCTCGGGGGCATGGGTCCAGCACATCCTCAATATCCTCCGCCACCGCCCCAACCGCCCCAACACGTTCTCGCAGCGGCAGCAGCAGCCGCTGCGTCTGCGGTGCCTGACGTCCACAAACGCGACAAAGACGCCATCTATGGGTGAGTTGAATTTTTTCATTTCTTTTTTTCTTCCTTTTTTTTTATACACATAACTTAATCGGCCGACGGCAGGTATTGCCCAATACACATAGCACGAACGTGTCTATTGGACACTCTGCGTATCTTATTTCCCAGTCCAAAGTGAAATGCTTCACCCTGAAAATCTTTAAAAAATTTAGGTTACATTTATATAGCGCGTATGATTTATCACCCCCGAGATTGCCTTATTTTTGGTATCCCGAAGAACGGAAGCTTATTATTCGAGGTACCCTGTAATCTTTCCACTCGTCGTGTGCCCGGACCCGAGAATCCGTGTATTCTTGGAAGAGCGAGAAGTGGCCGGCCCCCTCCTATATAATACCATCCTATACATCAACCGGCTCCTGGCTCTTTCACTCATCGTCAGGTGTAGGACGTTCTCGTGTGCCGCGTTCCGCATCACACATCGATCGCGTATGGCATAAAGGATCCACGGATAGTTGATCTCGCGTTAAGGACGGAATTGCGCGAATTCACGTGCTTTCCACACGGCGGGATTCGACGCTGCGCTACGGCAGACGCGATAGTAACGGTAAATTTACCGCGGCCACTCGTCACTTATCGCTCGTTATCGTGGCGAACCACCCGTAACGGGTGGACGAGCCCGTTATTTTTAATTTGCCGCTCGCGATGCCAAATCAAAGTGCAAAAGTTCTATGCAAATTGAAACTTTCACGAGGATCTCTGTCAGGACGATCTGTTCTCTCGTTAGATGGACGACAGAAGAGACCGGTCTTCGGATAAACGATAAGTGTGTGTATATCACAAGTGACGCTGGATTATGGGGGTG